GGGGCGGCTCGGCCTCAGCGCCTCGTCCTGCCCTTCCAGGCGTACGGAAGGGGAGTTTGGCGAGTGAAATGAAGGGCTTTAGGGCCTTTACCTCGCTCTTCGTGTGTTTTGATGTTGTTTTTTGCATCTCGTCGGCGGGCAGCTCGTCGGAAGTGCCGGTAGATGGATTAGTTTGACTTTACAGATCTTTTTGTTACCGTGCTGCTGCTGTTGCTGCTGTTACCTCGGTTTCAAACACAAAGCGACCCTGAAAGCGTATGAGCAGGGGTGAAAAATAAAAGTTTCTTTTTCTGGGCGAGGAAGTGAAGCATCAATAGCGTTTTCATGAACCGCGGTTGACTGGTAAGATACGGATGCACAGATTTTGTTTTCTGGCCCGTAAATAACCTGGATGTTAATCGGGCTTTTCATAACAATTTACGGAACGTTTTCACAGTTAAAAACAAATCGCTAATAATGTTTAAAGCCTTTTGCGGGACCCGAATCTTGCACCTTCTTGGTTTTCAAATTTACCTTATTTGCTGCTGAATGAGGCAAGCAGTTGTTTCTCTGTTCCTCACCTTGTAAGAACAGAGGATATATTCAGAATTGGGACGTACCTTGTGTGGAAGGTGAAGGGGTCAAGTAACAATAAGAAACAAATTTGCAGAGTGCTGTAGCATATAAGCTTATGAATAGTATCTCAGATTTGTTTTTTGAAAAGAAGGAATAAACAGTAAATGTGGGAATGTCGTCATGCAGTTAAAGCCATAAATCTGTGGCGTTACTAATTTGCTGCCTTTTACGTTCTCTTTGTAGGAATGGAGGGGAAAAAACTGATTTCTGCAACAGACACTCAGTATTCTAGTGTGCTCCTTCAGTCTTTGAATGAACAACGAGGCCACGGACTTTTTTGTGATGTCACTGTTATCGTGGAGGACCGGAAATTTCGAGCTCACAGAAACATCCTTTCGGCCTCAAGCACTTACTTCCACCAGCTTTTCTCAGTGGCTGGGCAAGTGGTCGAACTGAGCTTTGTAAGGGCAGAGATTTTTGCAGAAATTCTTAACTATATTTATAGTTCCAAAATAATCAGCATTCGATCCGATTTACTTGATGAACTGATTAAATCAGGACAACAGCTGGGTGTGAAATTCATAGCTGATCTGGGCATACCTCCGTCTGAAGGAAAAAATATGCCAAGCGAGGTCAAAGGTGGTGCTTCAGGAACCTCAACTTCTAGCCCAGGCCAAAAGGATGCTGAAACACAAGTACCTGTAATAAGGCCAGAGAGTCGAGAGGTAGCGGATGGGATGCCGGTTATAACGCAATCATTCTCCTTACATGGCATAGAATATGAGACTACGAAAATTACAGTGAGTGATTCAGACGATGAGGATGATGATGTAATTTTTTGCTCTGAGATTGTTCCCCCAAAAGAATGTACTAAAGATACAAATGCTGGAACCCAGAACCTGCCTTGCTCAAGTCCAGCTGGAGTTTCTGACCAAAAATCGTGTGGCAGTGGTGGCTCTCCCCATTTGACGAGCAGCACAGCAGCTCCAAAACTCACTCCGTCTGCCAGTCAGCTAAGCCCAAACCAAACACAATCAAGTGCCGAATCGCTTGTCCCTGCCACGCCGCAGCATTTGACTCCTAATATCATTGTGCTAAATAAGCCTCTGCTTAACTCCTCGCTCAGTGCCAGCTCCTTGCATCAAACACATGTGACCCCCACAATTAATTTAGTTGAGGAGAACCAGCAGCCGTCTAATAATGGCTCCTTAACTGAAGTGGAAACAACTGCTGTTGATGATGAAGAGGTTGCTGAAGATGATGTCGATGTCATTAGCTCTTCTAGTCCTGGTTCAGTCAGCAGTAGCTCTTTGGTTCAGCAACCTTCTCTACCCAAGGCAGCAACCCCTGAAGGATCGGGTGTACAGAAAAAACAGGTGGTTACGTTTTCAGAAGAGCCATTTTCTAAACCTGGAGAATTTAAAATAAAAATCTCAGATGTCCTTACTGGAAACAACAAGGAATTTGGTTCAGGTGTAGCACCAAAGCATGTGGCAGAAGGGCAGAAAATCATAACGTTGGATACAGCAACTGAAATAGGAGGCTTATCCACAGGCTGTAAGGTGTATGCGAATATCGGTGAGGACACATACGACATAGTCATTCCTGTCAAGGGTGATTCCGAGGAGGGCGAAGCCAAGCCTGCTGAGACACCTAGGACATCTGGTGGTGCTTCTCCGAACAGAAAACGCATGAAAGTAAAGCACGACGACCACTACGAGCTCATAGTGGATGGAAGAGTCTACTACATCTGTATCGTGTGCAAGAGATCGTACGCGTGCCTGACGAGCTTGCGGAGACATTTTAACGTTCACTCCTGGGAGAAGAAGTATCCGTGTCGATACTGCGACAAGGTTTTTCCTCTTGCAGAGTACCGTACAAAGCATGAAATTCACCACACCGGTGAGCGAAGGTACCAGTGCTTGACGTGTGGCAAAACTTTCATCAACTACCAAATTACGGCCTCCCACATAAGATCAGTTCATAGCCAAGACCCTTCTGGAGATACCAAGCTTTATCGGCTGCATCCTTGCAGGTCTTTGCAGATCAGACAGTACGCGTACATAAGCGATCACTCGAGCAGTATACCAGTCATAAACGAGGGTGGAATTGTTTATCGCGTTGGCACAGGGAAGGATGGCACTGAAGGAACAACATCTAACCCTCCAGCCAAACAAATTACCTGGGATGACATTTTCATTCCGCAGGGAAATGAAGCAATTTTTAAACAAAATCCATCAGAGGGAAGTACTGAATTTGAGTTTGTAATACCGGAGTCTTACTGAAACGCATTAAATGCTGGAAGAAGGATTCTCTGCAGAAATACTGCAGCTGTTTTAAACGAACTGTTAAAACCACTGTAAAATCAAATGTTAAAGTGAAAACAACTTGTTCTACCAAGTCATCAAATGGTGGTAGCACTTAGGTGGATCATTAGTAGCTGCAAGTGATTTGTGGAAGTGATTCATCTGAAAGTTTACTTGAATAGAGAATAAGACATTTCCAAGGAGCTGGCAGTGTTTTCTGGTATGTTAATTTTGATCAAATCGTGGGGATTTGTAGCTTGAAAAGGTACAATTTCTTCTAAAGAGCTAGGAACCGTTCTTCTAAAGTAATTGAGGTATTTCCTGTACCGTACTTATTATGTAAGCCCTTTTTTTCATGTTAGCACTTCAATGCTGAATTCTGTTTAGATGTTACCAAGAAAACAGAGTTTCATTGTAGTCTCTTGAATATGGAACCATTAAGAAGGAAAAAAAAAAATCCCACAACTCATATTTATTTTTGTGAACAATGCATTACTGCAAGGGTCCAAAATAACTGATTCAGTAGTTTGGAGTAGTGTGTTTTCAAACTAGCATCTTAGTTCTGCTTTTATAAGCACTATGAATCAGCTGCCTTTATGCAAATAGTCTTGCCAGCAAGAGATAGTTAGGGCTAACTTGAACAAACTTTATTTATACTTGGCAGTATGGTGAGCAGAGTATTCGGTGTCTGGACCATCATGTTTTACTTTTTTTTGCAGTGGGGAAAAAAGCCCCAAAACACACAAAGCTCAATTATGAAGAAGCTTAGAACGCTTAGGAAGGAGATAATTTTGCCTTTTCAAAGCTTGAGGAATAATGTTTAGGTTTTCTTACTAAGATGCCAGTAGTTAGTTTGGAATAAAGTGCTGTTCCTTTTTTTTTTTTTTTTTTTTTTTTCTTCAGGAATAAAGGCTTCAGTCTGGTATTTAAAAAAAAAAGGTAATAATTATGCTAAATTTTTTTTTTTTTGTAGCTGAAGGCTCTGAAATTTACTTCTCAAAACTATGGAATAATCTAAGTGCTGTATCAGTTTAGCGCTGAGACTGCTGAGCATCTTGTATACCTGTTTGGCTAGATCTTTAAATGAAACAGGGATTTGGATTCTGCCCCCCTGCCATTTATAGGGTGCAGAAGCATGAGGACTAAACCAACAAGTAAAAAATAGCCTCCATCCCCCATAATCCAAAGTATCATTTCTCTGCAGTTATCTAGTTGTCATCTATTTTCCATTTGGGGTTTATTATATTGTCTTTTTTTTTTTCTCCTTGCAATTGGTACATGTTTAGGCACTTAGAAGATAAATTGGAGGTCCAACAGGAAACATTAGATCTGAGAAAAACAAACAGCTGTTTACTGGAGTCATAGTTTAGCATTTCAGATTTAGTGACTTGTTGAATCTTTGTAAATGGTAATGTGAAAACTGCTCAACTTCTAGAGATGACTGAGGAAGATTGTCGTGCATAGCACTAGTTAGTTATCGTAACCTTTCATTACTTTAACTGTAATTTAAGTTTTTTCCTTTCTTTTTCATGTTTTAAGTAAGGACCTTGATCCTATGAACTTCACGGTTAAGGTTTTAGACATACAGTACTGTAGGCAGAAAGACATTCAAATGGTAAATGGTTCAAATACAACTTGAGCTATCAAAAAGGGTATCAGAAATCCCTACGAGTAACAATGGGAGAAAGAGGAGGACTGACCTTATGCGTGTAATGCTCAGCACTTCTGTTCTGTAGGCCAAGAACATGATACACGTGATTATGTCCAGATCATATTGCAGCCCCCTTTGCGTATAGTGGGGTTCGCTCGCAAGCCTTACAGGTTGGATGTTCCCTGCGATCGAACCTAATCCTCGCAGGACATCAGTACTGACTGCCCGTGGCAGCTCAGGTAGCGCTGAGGCAGCTGGCTGGCTGCTCCATGGAGAGTTCCTGAACTTCTTGATGAGGAAAATGCAATGTTCTTTTTGTAATTGACATGACACCTGTGGAATTAAGCATACGTTGCGAAGTGTACCTTCAGTCGTAATTAAACATAATGGCTATCAATATTTGCTGCTGGTGTATTTAAAACCTTAAATTAAACTGTGTCTCCTAAAGGTCTCTTTTGGGAGGAAAACTGGAAAATTAGGGCTTTCTAACTATTTTTGCTAGAAGACTCGTGCTTGCATGTGTCTCAGGGTCTTCAGTTTTCCTTGGAAGTGGTTTTTTTTTGATAGCCAAAGTCCAGAGGTCATGTAAAGCATTTTTTTAATTTCACTTCCAGTATTTATTGGTTTGGAAACATGGTAAGTCCATTCTTTTAAAACTTTTTATGGGGCCATGAGCTTTTATATTTAGATTTCTGGCTATTGCACTTATATTTGTTTTTTTGTTTGTTTTTTGTAAACACTTAGCTTCCAGTTTAACTTAATGAAAAACCTTATGTAAATATTAAGAAATTGGCTTTGGGGTAACAGAAGAAAAAGATTGAAGCTGAAAAAGCACTTATATAAAAATTAAAAATTTCAACAGAGTATGGTAGCAAACCTGACAGTCATTTATATGCATATAAAAACATTAACAGATCTGCTGCAAAATACGGTAATGGTGGCTGCATCCTCACTGTATGGTTTCTTCGGGGATTCATACCACAGCATTCCAGTATGTGAATTAATCAAATATTGAGATAACAGTTGACTGCTTATTTATTTTGTACTGTTAAGGCATGCAGCTTATAAAAAGATGCAGAAGCTGATGACTATATACATTGAACACTCGAGTTCTACAGCTATTGCCTAGGAACTGTTCCGCGTGAAACATTCATCATTTTTGCCGGGTCTGTAATGTATATAATTGTACAGTCTTTCCTTAACATACTTTTTAAAGTTGTGTTCTACTTTTCATTAATCAATACTTGATATTAGTTCTTAGAGCTTTCTATGGCAAAAAATAATAAAAAAAAAGTTTAATTCTAAAGATGGGTGTAGCATGTTTCTTTTTAACGACAACTCAACTCCTGCAGTCTAACGTGTTAGATCACTGACAGTTTGTAGCTTCCTTTTCCAGGTCTTTGGGAATAGCAGGGAACGCCCCCGGGGGTGAGGGGGAGGTGTTTTTATTTGGGTTTTGGTGGGTGTGCATTTGTTTTTGCATGAGCACTTTCCAAGAAAGCAAACTGGAGTTTTCCAGCTACTGTGTATCGTGAGCTGAATGGTGTGATACACACTGACTCTTAGAATAGGCGGAGCTCCTGTGGAACAGTCTGTCCAACTCCTGCCGTCATTGCGGGTGAGCTAGAAGTCAAGAACAGAGGTAGTGACCAGCGCAGTGCATTTCGGGTAACTCATGGTTAGGGCTCCCCTTCTCACCAGGCTGCCAACTAATTATGAGTTGGAAGAGGCAGATTGTTGGCGAACCGTGGCTGACAGGGAGAAAATTAGTTAGGTGATGTGGATTTCTTATTACAGGTAAGGAATGCAGTTTAATAAGTAACGTATCAAATGATGGTTTAGATGCCATTATCTCCTTGGCATAGGGCTTCCACCTACTTCTGCTAATATGGAAGAGCAGCTGACACCATCAGGACAGAACTGGGCCCAAAGTAATACAGTAAAACATCAAAGTAAGTAAAGAAGAACGCTGCACTGGCTGGGTTATTTGCCTCTGTATTTAGCAAAATATTAGCAGTAATGACTTTAGAGTGCCTGAAGTCAGGGCATCCTGGTGTGGGGGTAGAGCTGCAGAACTATGAAGTGTGGGGGCGTCTGGGGCTTTTAAAGACAGAACTTAAAAAAAGGTGGCTCTGGCTAATGCTAGTAGAAACACCAGTTTCCAATATAGCAAATACAGTTTGTTGGGGTGGGGTTTTTTTCGTTGGTTGTTTTCGTTTTTTTTAAATGCATGATGCTATTACACTGGAATTCCTCAACTAACATTAGAGATGCTGGTAAAACAGAGAAGTTGCTAAAATGTCAAATGCAATTTATAAATGTTTACAAAAGTCACACAATTTTATTTAACTTTGGTAAAGTAATAAAAGGGTACATATGAGTCACAATCTTGACATTCTCATAAGAAATGATGAATACAGTGCAGAATGTTGCATTTACATTAAACGCTTAGTTTTACTCAAGCAGAAGGAAATGGGTAGTTCAACAGAAAATCCCACCAGTAATTTTTTAAATGTGAAAATGTCCCTTTATAGTGAATTTAAAGCAGCAATGTAACTTTTGCTTAAACGTTCCTTAGGGGAAAAAAAAAAGAGAATTTGGATAATTTCCTAAGTTTAGTCTTTGTCAACTCAAAACCAATGACACAACCCTTTCCTAATTGTTTCTCTGCCACTAAGTTATGTTCCCCTCATGAGTTTTAGTCCTGTCCTGTAGTGTCCCCTAGTCCTTCTAGCCCTATTTAGTTGACAGGCACAAATGGTAGAGTATGTGGGACCGGACTGTTAGCTTTTATTTCAAAGATGCAGCAATAAAGTGTTTTCTGATATCAATGTGCACTTCTGATCTGTGGGGAGTTTCGTCAGGACAAGTACTGTTTATTTTGAAATCGCCCATTATCTCTTTATCAAGATTTAATTCAGGAAAATATAATATAAAACAGATGATGCCCTAGTATACAAATTTATTTCCAGCATGGAAATTATAGGAGCTGCATTTCAACAATCTATAGTAAAACAAAATGTCACCAGAATATGTTCTGCATACACTACTGCTTTAAATCCCATGAGTTGTCTTCCTTTCTCCAGCCATTTTATTTTTGTTACTGGAGAAAAGTTACACTTGCTTCTGGACAAACAGTGTCATCCTTTAGCTTATTAATACACTGACTAGTACTTGACAGTGGAAACGATAAGGTTAACACATAGCCTAACCTAAAGGCTTTGCAAATGCATAGGATTAAAACCAACATTATAAAGTGTGGGTGTACTTTGAAAAGTGAGATCAGAGACCAGTGTTTGTTTTTCATGGTGACAGTACTTTTCTTTTTTTTTTATTTTATTTTTTTTTAGCTTAAAAGCAGAGAGGTGCCACAGTTCAAAGTCCAAGAGGATGCCCTGGCCCCGCATGTATTGCACTTTTAGATTCTGAAAGCCAGATTTAGCTTTTAGGTACCTTTTTGTCTGCATC